AACGTTACAACGTAGGTGCGCCTTTTGAACGTATCGCCTTTGACATCCTGGGACCTCTGCCACGAACTGCTGATGGCAACAAATACATACTCGTTGTCATTGATTACTTCACCAAGTGGCCTGAAGCTTATCCTATTCCTGATCAAGAGGCAGTCACAGTAGCTGAGGTAATGATACAGCACTGGATTTCCAGGTTCGGAGTGCCTCTTCAGTTACATTCCGATCAGGGAAGGAATTTTGCCTCGGCAGTAATCAAAGAACTATGCAAACTACTTGGCATTGACAAAACTCAAACGACGCCATTGCATCCCCAGTCGGACGACATGGTAGAGAGGTTCAATCGAACCATCCTTAATAACCTCTCATTAGTGGTTTCCAGAAACCAACAGGACTGGGACAAGAAATTACCACTCTTTTTACTGGCTTACCGCAGTGCTGTCCACGAGACTACCGGCTATTCTCCATCACAGATGCTCTTCGGTCTTGACCTTCGTCTGCCTTGTGATCTATTGTTTGGCCGCCCTCCGGATGCTCCTTCATCGTCTGAGGAATATATTCAAGATCTCCGGGCCCGGTTTGAAGTGATGCACAATTTTGCACGAGAGCGAGTCAACTTGGCGACGGAGAAGATGAAGACCCGATACGACACAAGAGCTACTGAACATCAATTCCACGAAGGAGACAAGGTGTGGTTGTGGAATCCGACTCGACGGAAAGGACTTTGTCCGAAATTACAGTCACCTTGGGATGGGCCGTACACAGTCCTAAACAGGCTGAATGACGTCGTGGTTCGGATTCGTAAGTCTTCGAACTCTAAACCTAAAGTCGTTCATTACGACAGGTTAGCTCATTACTATGGCCATAGTACATAATGTAAATAATTGTAAAATAGTATAAGACCATGGTCCATTTTTTTTGTTTTTAAATGTGTATTTGATTTGTATTTGATAGCATTTGATTTGTTTTATGTATTGCATTTATTGATCATGTTGTTTATTATTGTAATGTAATGCTTATTAATGAATTTATGCCACAGTTGTAAGTTTTGCTTCCTGTCAGGGATTGTACTGCCCGGGACGTGCAGTCCTTGGGAAGGGGGCAGTGTTACGAATTTGGTATTTAAAAGCTAATGTTAGTTCAATTAGAAATTAAATGGTTTTATTTCTCGCGCAGTGCAGCGCGTGACGAATATTAAAAGAAAGCTAAGCCGGAAAATTGAAAATACAAGAGCGCGTGCATTAAATAAATAAATATCTCTTTTTGATTTCGAGAAAGTACTGGAAAATTCTAGCGCGTGATTTTAAAATCTTATAAAAGGAGGAAAACATCTCAGTTTGTAGCAGTTGCTTAGTTTGTTGTTGTTTAGAAATTTTCCCTGAGATTCATTAACGGTAAGCGTGTTTCGTTTCATGAAAATAGTATGAATAAATGCTGATTTGAACTACAGTTTCAGATGACGTGGAAGTGATACGTCATTTTCGATGATGACAACGCACTTTATAATGGTTAATGGGGAGGGCCGGCAACAGCCTTGAAGGGCCTATTTTGAAGAAACAGACTTAATATTTAAATTACTTTTTATATATATCAAACAAAGTAGAATATAATTACTCTGTTCTGCAGCTGTTCTAAGAATTTATATAAAGATATTGGTTTGAAGCATTTTTCCCCTTTCTTTAATAAATTTATTTTTAAATGAAACAAAATAATAACTACTTTTTGTTTCGGGTCTAGAAGTTACATGGTTTAAAAATAGGTTCAGCTGAATGTTTACATAATTTGAAGCATGCTTGTAAGAATGTTTCTATTTTAAAGGCTTGAGACTGGCAATGCCTTTTACGGCAGAAACCTTTGTGAATGGACTAAAAAGAGAAGGCTTGATTTTTATTTAAGCTGCTGGTAGTATTGATTCTGCCCTCGGGGCTTTTCTAACGTGTTGTAATTGTTCTCTGAACCCTGCCACTAAAGGCCTGCTTGTGTACAACTTATGCGTGGAGTATAAATTTAAAATTGTCTGAACGCTCGGATTCATTTGTTAATCTATAACTCAAGAATAATACATCGTATGCTTCGGTCTGAGCCTTCTACAAACTACGTTTCTAATCAAGATCCTCCTTTCACTAGTTCAGAAATAATTAATTTTATTGAAAGCCTTAAATCCAATAAATCTTCTGGTCTTGATTCCATTTCAAATGAAATTTCGCATCAAATTCATGGAATGTTTTAAAATTTGCTTTCTAAAATCTTCAAAATTTGTCTGAAGCTTAGTTCACTTCCCCATTGCTGGAAGAGAGCAAATGTCGTTTTAATGTTTAAGAAAAGTGGTCTTTACACAAGGCATTTAGATGATTTCAAATGCACTAGTTTTCTTCCCAATTTAAGAAAATGCATAGAAAAACTGTTTCTTAACTGTTCCTTACACAATAAAAACTCTTAAGCAAAGCGCAGTTTGGTTTTACTTCTAATAAGAGATAGGACGATTCATCCTGTACCTGAAAGACAAAATGGATGAAGGTAAGAAAAGGAATTTACACACTAGTCTAGGGTTCTTTGATATTAAAAATGTTTTTGATCGAGCTTAGTGACCTGGGATACTTGCCTTTTGAAGGAGGTGTTTCATGTAATATTTTCCCCTTTATTAAAATTTTTCTGCATGACAAATCTGCATTGCTCTCCATTGATCATGCTTCTACTTTCCGCACTTTGGAAAAAGGTTGCTCTTAAGGCTTTATTTCGGGACTCTCAGTGTGGAATTTAACTATAGATGATCTTCTCACTAGACTCTCAGATTATCTGGACTGTAAAACAATCGCTTTTGCTGATGATAACTCCGTTTGTTTTCAAGGGAAGCATCCGGAAGCACATTTTAATACAGTTCAGAACACTTAAATATAACTTTAATAAGATTCAGATTGGCTTAAGTTGGAGTTCAATCCTAATAAATTAAAAATTTGATACTTAAAAGAAAGCATGCCAGCTTACAAACACACAATTATACCCTAACAACATTTTACTCGAAACGATGAAAGAAACTAAACATTTAAGCATCATTCTTCATTATAAATTTTACTGGAAAAATTATATTATGTAATAAAAAAATTATGAATATATATTTAGAGGGATTAATAGTGTCTCTTGCGATACTTTTGGTTTAAAATCCAATATTATTGGTGATATAGTATAGTCCCTTTGGTTTGCTATGGTTCTATGAATGCCGATCAGTTTTCTGTGTTATGTTTGCTATGCATACCGATCAGAGACTTGTACATTCAATCCATCACCCGTTTTCCACTGTCCGCTGTATCATTCTTTTAAAAATTCATTACAATAAAAGTGTATTTAGTTTATGCAACACTACAGACATAAATCTCCAAGCAATATTTGTATAATTACCAACAATTTAAGAGCTGTTTAAGTACGATTAAGCCTAATTTTTAAATAACATGGCGGACATATTTGTTTACATTTGAAACAGCAGAATTGTAGATTTGTTGCTAATCTAGAGAGACTAAGCTTCACAACAACAAAAATAACGCCTTCATTTATTATTGCGAATTAAATCATGCTTAATCCTTTCTGGAATTTTTTCGAGGAAATAAGTGTTTAAGATTTACTTAATTTTTAATAATAAGTAATTTAATTTTTAATAATTAGTAATTTTTAATACAGATATTTTGAGCTTTTATGTATTTTTGTCTTGTCGCAAAGTGAAAACTGAATTAATTGAATAAGAAATACTCAATCGTCTGTGAAAACTGTTTCTTTTTTGTTTTGTTTGCTTAATTTCTTTTTTACATCGTTCTAGCTTTATTATAGTATTTGAAAAGAGCATGTGGCAACGATTAGATAATTCTTTAAATGATATACATTTTGTGCATTCTGAGTTATAATATGAATGAAATATAATACTGTTAAGTTAACCTAGTGCCGGAGTGTCGCTATGTTAAACAAATAGAGTGAATTTTAAAGAATGCCTTTATTCTATGTGGTTTATGCGCTGTCGGCGAAGTAGATTTAATTAAATCCAATAAGTTGAAAAGAAATGCAAGAAACTAATGCGTGTAATTTAACATTCCGTACAAGGAAGTCATGTGGTGTACACATCAGATTTTTTTTAAATGCTTTTCTATAAATTTTTGGGAATGCCTGGTCAGACTATTAAAATTTGTTTATTACTAGCTTTAACAAAAGCTAGTAAGTCATCAGTAATTTTATGTAAAAAACATAAAATCATGGAAAACGGAGAGATTTCAATTAAAAGAACTAAATATGCAGTCTCACGTGGACTAAACAAAATTTGTAGCATAATTAATGCATAAATTACTGATGACTTACTAGCTTTTGTTAAAGCTAGTAATTATTAGCTTTTGCTAAAGCTAGTAATAAACAAATTTTAATAGTCTGACCAGGGCATTCTCAAAAATTTATAGAAAAGCATTTAAAAAAAATCTGATATGTACACCACGACTTCCTTGTACGGAATATTAAATTATATGCATTAGTTTCTTGCATTTCTTTTTAGTTCATTAAAAAATATATTTTAAATACTGAAAAAAAAAAACAGATTTTTTTAATTTTGTTGTTATTTGAATAAATTTGCCATTTTGTTTGTACAAATAGAATATGTGAATTTTGAATCACTTCTGTAAGTACGATTTCTATTGAGGTAAAATTTATTATACAAAGCATTTGCACAATTTAAACTTAAAAAATAAACTCCTTATTTTGTTTTATATTTCGAACTTTGATTTTTGTAATAATTAAGTTACTTTATTTATTGAAATGTCTAAAAAAGATAATTATACCTTCATGTGAAAACAGAACTCAAATAACTTCATCTCCTCTACTAAAAATACTTCTCATACTTCAAATAGCAAGACCTCCCCTTTCTTCGGAGCTAACATCTGATAGGCCAGTTTTAATGATTCCTCTCTACTCTTGCTCATAGTGAGCAGTGGGCTAGTGTCCGGGTTGGAAATACGATCTAACAAACGCTTTTTTTTACCTGAGCGGTCCACTAGTTTAGGAATCGCTTCTTAATATCTGCCACTAGTTAAATGAAGAAAAACTAGCCCTAAATAAATTTTTCCCAGACTTTTCAGAAAATTAATAATTGCAGCCTAAAAAAGTTTAAGTAACTGAATTATCATTATTATTATCGCTACTAAATTATTTTATAAAAATGTTAAATTAACTGTCACTGCGATGAGAGTTTTGAGTGTTCTCGCAATTTGCTTCCTATATGTTATTAATGTTGGAAACGCCAAGAGGTAAGTTGGAATTTCAAAATGTTGCGTTCCTTTCCAATAAGCAGAAACAAATTTTGTTCCTAAATTTTCAAACAATATTTGATTTTATTTTTGCTGATAACATAAGGCATTAAATACCTCAAATTTCAGAAAGATTGTTTTTCCTTTCTTTAGCTTCTTACTTCAGAAAACAGATAATAATAGAAAGAAATAAAATATCTACGATAATTAACATAATTCGTATCATAATCATAAAATTCATTTTATAATCATACTATTAACATAGTGCAAATCGTAATATTATTGTAGTTATCATTAAAGCTTGTAATCGAACTGAATAATCATGTATAAAAGCATTGATAGATTTAGGTCATCAATTTTGAAAGTGTATTAGCGATTATTTAATTAATTTGCATATTAGTATTTATTTATTATTGACTCATTTGTGTAACCTTTTATGCTAATTAGTTGTCACTATAATTTAGTTACTTATTTCTTTTACATAATTTGGTATGCCTGAAATAATGTTTTCGGATATTGGCAACGAGATTAGATGCACCTTTCTTCAGTTAAGAATTTCGTAAACTTGTTAAGTGCACAAATTCCACATCGTGTTGCAACCAGAAATTTGGTACACTTGGTAGGTTCGGGGTATGAAATGTAAAGCCGAAGTTTCAAAGATAAATGATAAAATGGATTGAGCAAAACCTTAACCGCACAAAATATATTAATATACCTTCGTTTTGAATTGATAAACCAGAAATTTGTTTTTTCAAGAAAATGCTCGGTTTAAAATTAAATTAACAGAATTGTTGCAGGAGGAAGCAACAGTATTTATTCAGTTTGGTAGTTCGAAACTGAATTTTCCTATAAACATAAAATCATGACAGTTATGTGCACATTTAAACATTATCTGAATTCATATTTACAATACTTTTACCGAGATAATAAAAGTAAATTTATAATTCATTTACACATTGACTGGAAGCAGTTAAAAATGTCATTTTTAACTGCTTTACAATATTATTTTTAACAAGTACATATAAAATGGAAATAGGTATAAATGCAAATAGGTACAGATCTCTCTTCATGAATGTCGGTCTGTACCTATTTGCCACAAAATCGATTGAGTCCTTGTCTAAATCTATGCTAAAAGCGAGTTTGTTGCTTTGCTAATTTTATGTTTCACTTTGGCTTATGTTTCTCTTCTCTGTTTTGAAGTGAATCAACAAATAATAAACATACTTTGATATTAGTTGATTAAAAAAATAATATGAAGCTAATATGAAGGTTTGGTTTTGATGGTTTAAAGTTGGTCATTTTTATTTTACTGAATGCGAGCTTAATAGCGCCCCACAGAAGATTGCACAGAGGAACTGCTAGCATTGCTGGACTAAATTTTATGTCTTGTCTAAGCTGACCTTATTAAACAAGCTGGACTGTCTTGACAATCTGCTTTCCGTTGTTTATTTGCAATGAGAAGAATTATGGGAAGAATTTAGAAAGTATGAAAACGTGTGCTAAATGAATTGACACTGGAGAAGCCGAATTCAGGTGTCGTGAAATATTTTAATCGCTTTAATAGACAACCAAAAATAACAGTATTTGATTCGGAAGGCCCCACCAGCAACCGAGTGGTAAAGTCGCTGAACACTGCTAGCTCGGTACGAGGTTCGAATCCCGCGAATGGGCTTGCTGCATGGGTGTTTTTGTGCTTTTCCCGATGTATAACGTGTATACGAGCTAGTTTCCCTCAGAAAGACCTCAAAGAAGGCATCTTTTTGCTTAGGCAGATAGCCCTCGAGTGCTTGCCGTAATTTAAATAAAGCAAACCAAACCAACCTCTTCCCAGAAATTCCTAATGGTACTAAAAAGGGTTAAGTAGATGTCGGTGATGAAAACACAACTGAATCAGAAGCGCAAAAACCACTCGAAAAATGTTTGGGTATTATTCATTTAGCAGTAAACAAAGAATATGCTTAATCAGCTATTAATGTTGGTTTCTAAAACCAACAGTTATATGATTAAAACAAGAAATCGATCACGAATATCTCCCGTAAAATTGTTCCACAAAATGCTAGACTGTAAGCTGCAGTAGTGGGGTAGAAAATATTCACGACTCTTGGCTTAGATGCTTTTGTGCATATAATCCGGATATAGTCTTTCCAGAGTGTCATTTATTCAATTTGCTTTGTATGGTTCAATCTTCCGAACATTTGACGTATGGAAATGAGTTAATAATTTCATCCTGTTCCACGATAAATCATTCTTCATTAATATAGTCCATCAGCTGCTCGATCAATGGCGAAAGATAAAAAAATGACCGCCGGTGATATTTTTTCCCTGACAAATACATGGTTCATTGTTTTAAAAACTTAAATATAATAAGCAAATGTTTGGGTGTTTCCTGTTATTTGAAAGAGATTCTACTCAACAAAGTTCTAGTAATAATGATGATAACAACGATAATAGTAAAAAGAAGACTGAAAGGCATTTTTAATTACCGGTGTGTTAAAACAGAATATTAAATTTGTCAGAATCGACTTTGAAATAGCGTAATCAAAGCTTGACGATAGAGGCAGTATATTAATGATTATTCTAGTAGTCCTTTTCATTGTTGAATGTATAGTGAGCTGTTGTCAGTTCGATCTCGAAAGGATTATAAAAACTCTGCCAATAATCGAAAATCTTTATATCAGTTTAAAATCAATTCGCTTAAAATAGGATGTTTCGTATTGAATGGGACAAACAGAAAGAATACCTGTGAGTTCTTTTTTATTATTTTATGGTAAATAAAATGCACAGTGAAATTATAGTTATCAAAGTTTCTATAGATGTTCTATGTTGCGTACCCCTCCGATGACACGGCAATTGTCTATTCCAGGGTTTCTTAAATTGTGGGTCGCAGGACCTGCATCAGGGAGTTGCCAAAAATTTTAGCAGTTTGATATTTCTTTGACTTATTATAATAATTTTACAATTACCAAACATTTTTACACAATGCATCTGAAAATACATAAATATAAGATAATACAGACAAAGAAAAAACGAAAACTTTTCGACGCATTCTTTTTATAATATAAACGTTCATTTTCTGCTTTGCACGTGAGGCCGTCATTTCGTCTATTACTCATTTAAAATTTTCACATTTCACATTATTCTATGTCTTAAACTTAGAAATTAAAGTTAATGACCTAAAACTGCGGTACTATATTACAGTACAAGTGAAAAAATTGACAGTTTCACTCACGCGTGTGTCGGATTATATATATGGGGGGTACCACAAAACTTTTGTAAATGTTATGGAGTCCTGAGGGTCACGACTGAAAAAAGATTAAGAAACCCTGGTCTATACGGTATTTCAGTTCCTGACACACTCTTGACCAAGTATCCTTCGTTAACGATTCGAGCACTTCAGTTATCCCCTGCTTCAGTTGCTGTATTTGCCTATGCAAATGGCGGCGCGAACACTTTGCCTTTAGCAAAACTCTACAGGAAACAAAATCACAAACTGTTAGATATGGGGATGTCGATGGCCAAAAAAGCAGTGGCATATCGTTTGACCGAGTGCGTCCAGTCCAGATATGAGGTAGATTAGCTCTTAGGTATTAGCGTGTGATTTTATGCCAATGACCGTTTTACTGCAAAATGAAGCTGGGAATCGCTTTCTCCAGCTAAGAGAACACTTTGATAGTATATCTTGGTAAATGCACTCGTCAATCGATTTTTACACGATAGGACCCCAAACACAACTGTTAGAAATGATGCAGTAAATGTTCACCTCTGGAGGATCACGCTCATGTTCCATTGCACTATGTAGATTTCCGTACGCCCAGATTATTAAATTATTAATTATTAATCGTTAAATTGCGGCGATTAATTTTTCTAGAAACGGGGCTTCATCCGTAAACACAAGTCTGTTCGAGAAACCATCTACCTTCAGCTTACCGTGAAATTCTCAGAAAAAGCTTTATGCAGGAGTTCGTCGAAGGTTTTAAGGCCTGCACGATCTGGAAGGTATATGGCTGGAAATGTAGACATTTTTGTAACACTCAAAAAGCGCACCTTTACATGAGCCACACTGAATTCAGAACTCACACGATGCGTTGATTTTGTGAGACTTCGTAAAAATGTTTCACGAATTTTTTCAAGCATATCGGTTTTAGCTTCTGTTCATCCTGGGTCTAGATTCCTTACACAGCAACCCCTGCCCTGAAACTGCTTCATCTACCATTCGATGTCGTGACGATGCAATGGTTCTTCAGCAAATGTCGTGCGAAAATGTCTTTGAAGGACGATACACGTTGATGCTTTGGCGTATTCCCAAACATAGCACACTTTTCGTGCATGAACGGTGCCAATTTGATTAACAGTGCTTCTAGAAGAGATTTCGTAAGCCAGATAAAACGTTAACAGTTTTAGCTTTAGAATTAATTTGTTTTAGGCTTAATAAATCAATTACAGGTCTTGTACTATACTATTCTTTTCGTCCCATACAATATGATATACTATGTATTATATGTCAACACTTTTATGAAGTACCGATCACTCTAGACACTTCACTTACATTTCAGTGTTTAATAGCACATAATGCTAACAATAACTATATGGTAAAGTAAATATCTCTTTTTAGTATTTATAATGAGTATAAATGAATTTAACTTAGATTAAAATGTTAACATTGTTAAACATTAATAAACATTGTTCAGCTAAGTGCATCCACGAAACACGCATTTTTGGTCATCGCCTTTTGTAATGTAAAATAGCCATAAATGTTCTACATTTTTACTTTGCAATTAAAATACCTCGAAGGAAAGTTCTCCGCAGTTTTTAATGCGTTTAGTTCTGGACTGTGCATATTGGAAAAATATAAAATGCTAAGTTACGGCTGAATAGTTGAAATTAGATATACCAGAGCCCATTGGAAAGTTTTAGAGTAAGATGAATACAAATAAACACAGAAAATATAAGTAATAATTAATTGAAATTAAATGATACATAGAGAGATAGATAAAAAACAA